TTTCTTTCTTTCTTTCTTTCTTTCTTTCTTTCTTTCTTTCTTTCTTTTTGTATCGTATCTGATTTTTAGCACCTTCATCTTCACTCAAGGAGGTAAATGAATGTGCAGCATCGCAAGTATACTTACTGCAATCTTTCTAGACTGCCGTGCGTGTCTGGTTTCCTGTTGCGAGGAGTCTGGCCCAGCATCATCACCCAGTCTCCCACACTGCTACACATATGGTGCTGCCTTTGTGTCAATTGTACTCAGTGGGGTTTCTGATAATTAACAAGATGACAGATGAAATGTAATGACAAGTACAAGGTGGATTTGATTCTAGATTACTTTGTTTGTAATTGTTTTCCTGTGGTATTCAACTGTAGCATTTTGAAGTGTTATTAATCCATTTTTCTTTTCTATAAAGTTTGCACAAAGTTTGTAGATTGATTATGTTTCCATGTAAGATACAAAATACATTTTAGCAATGAGAAGTGGTACTGTTGCTTGCACGAATTATTGAGGATTTTTCCCCCAAATAAAACTAGTTTTTATGTCGTTTTGGATATAAGTGTCTGCTAAATGCATAAACATAAAACAAAAAAAAAACAGCAATTACTCAGATTTGCCTCAGGTGTAGAAATAATGCAATATAGACATTTGATAATATAGCCGTTATTTTTTTTCTCCATGTCCAAATATGTTTAAGGTTTACTTTAATCTACTTATAGATGTGAGCTTTTTTTATCAGTGTGATTGGTTTAGACCTGCTTCCTTAACACTCTTTATGCATTAATTTCAGACAACTCATTTCTTTTATGAGCACCTGAAACCCAATTTCATTAAAGAACAATTGTTCCTCAAGCAGCATTATGATGAGGTTATTCATTGACAGTTTGATAAATAATTAACTCCAGCATAGCAAATGTGCTATTTATGACCAAATCAAAGAAATGAAAGTAGAACATGTACCTCATCATCATTTAGTCCCAATGTGATTCCAATCACACAAATCTGTCTTCTTTTTTTATCACTAACAATTCTTTTTTCCTCTGCTATGATCAAAAGCCTTCATTATTAAGGCACCATTGCCTACTGCAGACCCTAATTGGGGCTTTGGCAAAAGAAAGCAGCATTTGATTTAATGGCCGCATCCCAAACAAGGTTGCAGGGCCCACAGTAAGGCTTACTTTTTATATCACTGAATTCCCTTAGGGGAAGACAGAGATGTCATCATTAGTGGGCAGTAGACTCTGACTGTGGTGACTGTGATGGCTGCAGAGGTCTAGAACATGGTCAGTGGCCCAGTAGCAGCGTCTGCTTTCTGTTTTCTCTGCCTGGGTTCCTATTTGGTCACATGGTCCTGCGCCAGGCGGCTCCTGTTGAATAAATTTGAGAAACTAATGAGAAAGGAAGCTTTGCAAAGACCTGGAAAAGGGCACCTCTTTCTCTTCTTCTCCTCTGAGAAAAACCGGGGGAAAAGTCGCTGTGGTCAATTTTATTAACTTGGCTGACCTTCACACAAACAATTAACATTTACAGAATATGCAGCCCCTCCCATTATCTTCCTCATCTCCATCTTAATCTTCAACCTTACCACCACCAGCTGCGTCGTGTTTTTTTTCTGCCTGTACTAAATAAATTTATCAGGCTGCAGCAAATTAATGACCAGCCCATTGTATGTGTTTCATATACAATTGCAAGGTGATGCACATTATACAGCAGAAGGTCAGCTATCTGAAGGTCCCTGACATGTTCAGTAATTGGCTTAGGGCCAGAACTCTCACCGTCAAAACTAACGGTGAGCGGTAATTGTGTGACCTAATGTACTCTGTTTTTTTCAACCATGAGCAAACCTCAACATTCCCTTAATTATGCCATGTGTGAATCTGAAATACATGCATATGCTGTTAAATGCTGGCTTCGACCAAGTTTCTTATGAGTTTCTCATCCATCAAAATGTCTGTCAAATCTCTCAGTGATCTGTTTGCTTCTTTTGTAGAACCTGATAAAGAATCTGCCAGAGCCGAAAGAACTGAGTGCTCTAGCTGAACTCAAGAGTGAATATGAAGAACTGGTGGAATCGGAGCAGTTTGGCATTGTGGTGAGTAATTTGCTGGAGCTTATAGGATTTTAACGTCACAATTTTAATTTTGTATGCACATAAAAACATCTCGAGTCTGGTCTCAACACACAATAATGCAAAGTTGGGAAATTAAATTAGACTTTCGTTTTTCACTTACTTTCAAAGCAGCAGTTTGATTTTCAGTGAAATAGTGAGTATATTTAGACTTTAGGGAGATACATCCCCACATGTTGCCATAATCTTTAATTTAAATGTCTTACAGACAAAGGAGTAGTCAATTCACCCAAAAAGTTCTAACTTTGTAATCTCGCTTCCAAATAACAGAGACTTCAGAAGCAAAGTCTTTTTGAGTTAAGCAAAGAATAGTTCAATCATTTTTTGATGAGGATTCAGTATCAAGAACTTTGTGAATGCTTTACTTTGACATCAGCTGTCAATGTTGTCTCATAATAAAATCATGCCCCTGGGCTATGAGTCCTGCCTCTAATAAAGGTCTTTGAAAAGTATGCAGTTGCAGTCAACCGGACTGGTGATGTATCCCAATCCTTTAATCAATTTACCATGAACATCCAAAGTTCTGTCTTTTCCAGTTGCAAAATAAATAATGCCGTGGGTGAAATATTATATACTTGGAATATAGTCTCCCCAGAAAGTTTTTTTTATACATTTTCTGGCATCAAACTTAGTTTGTACAGATTCATATTTGACTGTACAAATTAGTAATAAACCCCACTAATGATGATGAAGACATTAAATAGTGTCTTGATTATTTTCACCCTGTTGCTGTCAAGCAACGCATGTTTCAAACCTTTTACACCAACTGGTGTTTTTACAGTGCTTTCAGCTGCTAATGAGAAAGATGATAAAATAAGTGTGGTCAAAGTGACGTATCGTCAATCTGTTGAAGGAGAAGTGAAGCTGCTGTGACCTTTCCACTTTGTTACAACTGCAGTAAATTAGCAGCTCTGTCTGTTCACTAAGTGAAGCATTCTGGGACAGAAATATTCCCTTTTAAGTTAACTTTACAGCATGATCATAGAGGCGATATTTACTCTTACAAATAGTAAATCATGTTCAGTCATGCCCAAGGGTCGTGGACACTCTCCATCGTGTCACTAATTCCCTGTACTCATTGAAGTTTTGCTACCTTTTGTCTTTTTAAGAAGATGCAGTGAAGCAGGGGTGTGACATGTTCGTCGTGATCTTACTGGTGTTGTGATCACATACCTCCCCACTGATTAGGCACGTTCTCATTGCAGAGATATTTCACTCCTCTGGGAAATAAGCAATGTTTCAAGCTTTTTTTTTTTTTGTCTCCCATGTAAGCTGTCAGCATCACACTCACTTTCAATGTATTTTTCCACTTATTGTATACAAATAGGTTCAAGTGGGAAAGAAGGGAGGGTTTGTGTCTCTTTGCCTCTGTATCTTTGCAAATTTGTACCAGCAGCTGGAATGAGAGTGATCACGGGTGGAAGTGTTTTTCTATTTTTTTATTATTTTCCGCAAACATTTTTTCATCTAACCATTCATCCACCTCTCGCTTTTTACAGTTTCTCTGGGGCTGTTTTATCATTTATAACAAATCTATTAGATTGGAGATTATGGAAGGAGGAAATTTTAAGAAATGGGTAAATCGTATTTGCTAAATAGTGTATCTGATTTTGAGTTTATTAGTTACAGCAGTAATTACCCTTAAAATCAAGCAGGGGATTTCTTCTCCAGCTATGCTTGCTATCCACATGAAACATTATTATAACAGTCACATATTCATTTTCAAGTGTTCTTCAGTTCATGAATGACAAATGAATTGATGGTTACAAATAATTGCTGTGAAATGTATAAAGCCCTTCGCACCTAATTAATGCTGAGTGCAGCTTGTCAAGAGAGCCAAAAGATTTAAGCAAACCATTGCTTAAATCTTTGTCTTTCTTTGGGATGAATCTCTGTCTTAATGGGCTCCTGTATAGTTTTGTTTTTGTTTTGCATGTTTCTTTTTCGGGGGAGGTTACAATGATGGTGAACTGTTGAATTCGATTGAAAAAAGTGACTTAAACTAAATCCACACAAACTGAGTACAGAAAGTGGGATATTGGCTAACTGTAATGTAATGATCATATGATATTTCCCTCAGTTGCTATGGTGAGAACTGAAAACTAATGTTTACATTTTGACCCTCAGATGAGTTCTTTAAAGCTCCTCCGACCACGTCTCAACGGCATTCTGTTTAAGCTGACTTTTGAAGAGCAAGTTAACAACATTCGGCCGGACATCATGAATGTGACTTTTGCCTGTGAAGAGGTGAAGAAAAGTGAAGGCTTCAGCAAACTCCTGGAGTTGGTTTTACTGATCGGAAATTACATGAATGCTGGTTCAAGGAACGCACAGACGTTTGGTTTCAACATCAGCTTCCTTTGCAAGGTAAGGTCGCAAGAGCATGCAGCACCGATGAAATATATGTTTTATAACAAGGGTTTAATATGCGAGCTGACATTGAGTCAGTCCTGAGCTCATTTTAAATGATACTGTACAAATCAATCCACTTCATTCTACCAAGTAATGTGAGAGGAAAAGAAAACAGAAGACAGCTCAGCCAGTCACACAGTGGACAGAACTTGTGTTTTACATTTGTATGAAATGGACTAAACGGAGATGGAAATCTAACTTTGGATGCTTTTTTTGTTTTATCCTCCAGATTTACCCTAACATTCTCAGGGCAAAAACCACAATGAAGTAATTCAATTGAAACATTGCAGATATTCACAAATATCTCAATGTTTATTCTTTATATTGTCTTATTTAATAGTTTTTTTTCTGTTTTTTTCCTGATAAGATCTTTTTTGATTAATTGTGCCCTTTTTTGCATTAGATTTTCTACATTTCTTAATGAAATGTAGCAAATGAGATTTTTGGGAAAAAAATTATGGAAAGAAACACACTTATACAGGGATTCATCACTCTGAACATTGCTGCTCTTTATCTACATTGTTTGAATTCTCATGTATGTAAAAACAGATAGTATTAGTCTTTTCATTAATGCTAATCCCCTAAACTGCATGTTTACCTGGCATTTCTTTGAATGACGGTTAAAGATAATTTCAATTAGTTTTATCATAATTCTTAGAATAATTCTCTTCCTGGATTAGCATCAAGTTATGTACAGACTAAATCATGCTGGGCTATACTGACTGTGGGGATTGTTGCTAATGACCTCAACCATTTTGGATGCTTTCATCCCTCTTTCTTGTAGACATTTAACTCTGCGCCTGACTTAAAGCTGACCTTAAGTGGACTTTATTATTGTGAGTGACGACTGTGCTCTAACATATCCCCTGACGCATTTATCAACATGAGTTAATTAGAAGGACCTACAGGATGTTGCACATTAAGATACTAATCTTTCATAAAATAATGTGCCTGTTCTCTTCGGTGATACCATAAATGCCTTCGGATGATAAGTGACTGGTTGAAAAGTGGGTTGCTCCTGAAAGTGAATCATATAGACAGAGGAGAACATCTAAAACCACCTGAAAAAAAGTCTGCCTGGCTGTGGTGGTGGCTCCACACTGACTGAATCTATTACAAGACCCAACAGCCTGTGTATTGTCGCTGGAGTGTTTGTGTCACTAACAGATAATGTAATGGGCCGTTAGGCCCGTCTTTCGGTTAGGAACTCATTTATAATGGACAACCACCTAAACCTAGTCATGGCGAGTAGATAGAGTAGAGCAAATGTAAAAAAAAATAACCAATACCTAAGCCTCTGTCAGTGTTCCTTAAAGTTAACACTATCAGCCAGTCAAACCAAAAACACAACTCAACAATGATTTAATCTGACATAAACAATTTTAGCTTGTTTTAAATGGCCCTGAGACTGTTTGCTTTAACAGAATAAGCCCATGATACGGTTAAGAAAAAAAAGAATAAAAAAACTCAACACTGATGTGTAAATTCCAGAGACCCCCACCCTCCATTTGAAGCCAATGCTTACGCAGGTTCTCATTGTACAAGAGAGGAATGCAGTATAGTTTCGGTATTCATGCAAGTCGACTGAATCAGTGTGGAGTGTCAGTGTAGAGCCTGCTAACACCTCATGGGGCTGATTGGGCCATTATTGATGGACAAGAAAAAAAGAAGTGTGCTTTCTCCCTTTAGTCAATCAAGTAAATGGCCCCCTGGGTGGCTGGTCTAGGGTAACCTAATGGGCTCCTCAGGAGGTTGATGATGGGAATGAGCAGTGGGGGAAGGGCACATTTTGACCCACCTTTGCTTCCCACCTTTAGCTGTCCATTTCAACTTTTGTTCTGTGAAGGACATACAAACTTCCCAAAAGTCAGGCTTCAACAAACTACCAAAACTGTATCCATCGGACTTGCAATAAACAGCTCCCAGTCCATCTGAGATTGTTGGAAACACCTACAAGTGGCTCCGTCGTAAAGATGACTATTAGAATAAAAAATAAAAAAAAATTACACAGCAAACGTGAATGAGGGGCTACCAAATCCACAGTGATGAATGCTAAAAAATTAAATAAATTCTACATGTAATTGTACAAATCTACAGCATTAATCGGATAAATCAGCAATTAGCATAAAGTAGCACCCAAATAATGTGTTTTGTGGTCTCAAATGGAGCCCCTACAGAAAAAAATTAGAGCCAATATACATTACTAAAGAATGCAACAAATCCCACATCAAATAAACTTGGGATTTTGTTTCATTGTATTCTCCTTTAATTTCCAGACTTTAAATTCATTTCAGGTGCTTTAATAACACTGGAATGTGATTAGTTTTTTGGTATATAGAGAAAACCTATGGGATTCAACTAATTTGATAAATCCATTCTTCTACCTGTGCTATGACTCAAACTCATGTAAAAATATGTCTTCATAATTAAAGAGCACATGGCAGTGATTAATGTCCAATCTAAGTTGAACACAACAGAGAGAATAGGCACTTAACAGGGCAACCAGTGATTGACCTGTTCAAAATGTGCATATCAGTTATCAATCCCCCAATGTGTCACTAAACACTTGATGACAAAAAACAGCGTATCTGATTTTATAAGACTCTGCTTTTTCTTTTTATGAAAAATTCAAGTCATGGCTGTGTACACAATTTTATGCAAATAAAGCTTGTATGTTTTTTTCTACCTCTCTACTATTTCAGGATAATATGCAGCTTTATGGGTAGCTGTAAAATGTGTTTGTACTTTGCTTCTCCTCCATCTGCAGAAGTTAAATTGAGCAATCAAGAGCTGAAAATCCCTCTGCTGGTGTGAGGCTTTTATATTCCCACCACTGCATCTTCTGTTATTAGTTAATTATTGTTTTATTTATATATATCCAATCTAGATATTCAAGTTTATACTTGTTTACTAATAATGTATCATGTTAATGTATGAATGTTGTATACGAACTGAAGAGGGATTTAAAATATTTCTCTACCTTAGAGCAATTAATGTTTTGAAAAAAAAGACAAAAAAAGAAAGATATCACTTCTGAATGTGCTTTCAACGACCTGATAATGAAGCATTGTTTTTTCATCTACTTTAATGAACACATTTGTTTGAAGCTGTTAAATGCATTCACTCTGCATGTCATTATTGCATTACGATATAATGGGGTAGGAAATGTTTTGTCTTATTAAAAGAAGAAGAAGTAGAAGTGTTGGGGGGCTCACACAATAAATTTGAAATCAATCTTAAAGTACCCTGAGCTGTTACAGAGTGTACGTTGATGCTCCAGAGCTCTTATTTTGAACAAAATGTAAACAGGACATAACATTGGATGACCCTAGACTTGGACATGTTCTCCACTCCGAATGGCCATATACTACTCCCCCTTCCACAGGCGCCCCGCTGCACCTCAGGCCTGCAGAAGATCTTCATCTTGGTGCAAACACTGTAGGACATGAACTAAGGGATCACAGTGTATCCTGCCTCTTGTTGTTAAATCACACTACTGTAATGCAGGACATAAAGCCGTTTGTTTTTTCCCACCTGACATCCTCCAGTCTTAGATTTGACTAAAAAATGATAAAACTCTGTTCTAACAGATAAAAAGTACTACAGTGTGGAAACCAGCTGGAGTGGGCTGTTTAGAAATTAATGATGTGTCGCACGCCCTATTGACTTGGCCCAGTCTCATGTCAGTAATATTCACCTTACAATAAAAATATGCCTCCAGTTTTTTGGGGGGATAATTTGACTGCAGCCTTATTACCTAGAACCGCAGGGTCTATCCATTTACACCCACCACTCTTAATGAAACCCCAGCGTGACCATCCTCCTACACTGTATGGGCTCTAGATTAGTTCAGGTTAAAGATTCCTCTCCAAAGCATATGCCCCCTTTATCTGGGTGTCTTAGAACAATATACTACAACGAGGAGATAGTCTTAATTCTTTGCCCATCCTTTGAGATGGAAACTCAAAAACCATCTGATGATATTATGGTTACCAAACATAAGAACATTAGAGTAAAGTTGCCATGTATGCATGTTTTTTATGTGTTTCTAACAATAAGGGTTGCTTGTAATTCAATTCTGACTTCATGTTTGTCCATGAGCAAATCTGCATGCATTTGCAATCTGGACATGTATGGGCATGTCCAATCCCAGAGTGTTTACAGTGTGGAAATCATCAGTGGAAGTACATAGAGGTGTGTTGTGCTAATTAGCTTTCCCACCAGGCCATGCATACAGTATGGCAATCACAGAGGGGAATGAATATGGAACAAGTTTTCTATGCACAAATGTGAAAAATCTCATCTTCAGTGTATAAATACTGAAGCATGCTTAGCAGATTCTGTGCTGTATTTTTGTTCAAAATTGACTGCCTGGCTCTGTTATTCTCAGAAGTGTGGCATCATTACGTGTATCTGCTGCATTCGCATTTATGATTGTTGTTGTGTGTTTTTGTAGCCATCTGTAATTGGATGCAAATGTTTGTTAGGTCTCATTTATTTAATCTCATCATGTATTGTAAACAGCATCACGTGGATACAAGAAATAGGCCTTACTTTTAGCTAGTTGTGAATTCATTTCTTCACAAAACTATTTTTGAGCAAACACTTAACTGCACAGACTGAGTGAGGCTTTCAGGTTGAAAACAATATTGACACACATTTTAAATAGAATATTTAGCTCTGTGAAACTGAATTTAACAAGCATTTTCCTTTTTTCCTGAGGTGCAAATGAAACGGGGATTAAACATGTCCTCAAAAAAAAAAGATGAGATAAATGAGTGTAAAAATCTAATTCGATCAGTTTTTTCCTTTCTTTTTATTTTTGTGTTTTTTCCCCCCCCTCTCTCTTAGCTACGAGATACCAAATCCATCAGTCACAGCACAACACTGCTTAATTTCCTGGCTGAGAAGTGTGAAGAGCATCACCCAGAGATTTTGAGGTTTCCAGATGAACTGGAGCATGTGGAGAGCGCTAGCAAAGGTATGTTTCCCTGTCCATCCAGTCACATGCTAATTCTGTCAGGCAAAGACTAACATCCTCACTGTGAAACCACCAGAGGCCATCTCCTAAGTAGGGTGGAATTCGTATTAGGTTCATCTTCTCATTATCCTTATTTTTAGCAATGATAACCCCGCACAAACCCATGATGACAGGAAGCACCCATGGGAATGGAGTTGTTTGTCTGTCCACGCTGTCATTCACCCTGTCAACAATCTAATTCCACTTTCATTCTCCTCTCCAGCGTTCGCCGGAATCCCCACAGGCTTTTTTTACTTTGTTAGTCTCTTAATTGGTCATTTAATCTAATTCAACTAATTTTGCACTTGACTGAGGCTGCCAGCCCTTGTGGAAGTGGACTGAATAGTCTTCAAGCGTTAGATATATTTAGATGCCTGGCCATTTGGAATTATATCAACTAAGTTATTTCATGGAAATGAATTATTCAGGGCAGTAAATTGGCTGAGACAAGTAAATAAATGCTTCTTGCAAAAAATAAATAAATAAACATCAGAAAGTATTTAAGGTGAAAGAAGGCAACTGTGCGCTATCGTAACACCACGTACGGTTTTTCATTGATCATTACTTCCAATTAAAGCGGATTTTAAGTGGAATATTTGAGCAGGAGACTTGCTGTTTACAGAGGTACCAGAGATACTGGCATGGCTTCCAGCATTTGAAGCTGAAATAGATGTTTAAGAATTTTTGACATGTTTTTTTTTGGTATATTTATGGGAGTATATAACTCCTGATTTTCTCAGAGCACCTCACAGAGGCAGGTGGTAATCGGATGGCGTGCTCTACTTTTGAGTGCCTTTACTGTGTATAGAATAGAGTAATATTGTTTAATTATTAAGTGTATCTCCAGATCATTCACAAATTATTGGTTTCCTCTCGGTTCAAAAGGCATTAGTTTTGGAATTTTTTCACACTTGATATTCCCACCACAAAGCTTTTGTCTCAACATGAGGTAAAAGCCTAACTGTAGACCGTTATCTCTCCTGTTGCCTTCTGAGTCACCCCACCAAATCTACTGCATAATCTAAACATGCTATTAGCTATGCAGAAAGTAATGAAATGGTCATCTCTACAGTTGGTTCAACACTTAGTTTACCTAATTTGTGTGTGCTATCAGGCCAGGGTAATTCCCCAAAGAAACTTTTAATGCATAACAGTTCTCTCCAGTGAGGGAGACTACAACTACATTTGTGTTGCTTTAAGTCTCAGTTTATGTATCAGACTAGTGGTACTTTATCTATACATCTTTAAATGTGCTTTTCATGGTAAAATTGAAAAAATTTACACAACTGTTTGTGGTATATGTTTCAACGATTTATCATGAATTAAATCGTTTAGAATTCTGTATTTCTTTTATAATATTTTCTCTAATATTTTCTCTAATTTGTAAATCTCAGTCCATTATTTACAAAAAAGGAAGAGATTTCTCCATAAAACATCCTCATACTCCAATTCTTGGGTGGGCATGAGTTTCCTCTGAGAATAGCACTATCTAAGCCAAGTCGAGATAACACTCCAGATGAGTGCTAACCAGCTCAAGAAAATAAATCTCCTTTTCTTTGCAGTTGATTATTGGGCTATTGAACTCAAACGTTCAGATTTTTTATTTCTATTTTTCCCTTGATCTATTATATAACATACACAAAAAAAGGCATGTAATGAATACTTCAAAATCCAAATTGAAAGGGAAGTGTCTCGTTCACATTTTCCTTTAGTTTCCAAAACTCCTGTCCATACTATGCAAAAATGCCTGGAAAACCGTTTGGAATTCATTGTAAACGTGGACTTCATTTAAATAATTTCATGGTACTCCATTGTAGGTCTACTAGTTGAAATGCTTTAAAATTTCTGAAGAGAAGCTGAAAAAAGATGTAAAGTTCATTACAAAGACTGGTAATTGTTTTGGTGTATAAAAACGGTCATTTTTGCCTCTGGCAGTGCACTTATATTTGGTGTCAACCTCAGTGATTCCAGGAGTAGTCAAATATCAGAACTGATGAATGCAAAAAAGAGGACTCCGTGTTCTCCAACACAGGAACATCTTATCCATATTGCTTTTGTTCCTCTGGAATAGTCGAGTCAGTTCGGAATGTATGCACTGTGTTCTGTCTTATAGACTTTTCATATGCATTAGTTTATGGCTCTACTATCAGACATTGAGCGTATGACAACTTGAAATGTGTTCCACTATTTTCATACCCCTGACCTCATCTTAACAGTAGCGGCAAAGCCCTGAGAGAGGTGTCATTGGCCAATTTGCCTTGTTAAATTCCCCCCAGAGATGAGCATGTGGGGGCTGACAATGGGTACTAAGTCTGTGTGGTGATTCCACTCAATCAGTGGCTCACTGACAATCTGTCTTGACAATCCGGGAAAGGAGGAAATATGACACAAATGTTCTCATAAATCCATTTAGTATAAGGCATAGCCAAGGGCAAAGTACTTTGGAGCCTGAGAGAGAGAAAATGGAGAATGAGCAAAGAAAAAAAAGATGAACTCTGAGGATATTAATACCACTGTGAATATATCTATTATCCACATTCATTTCAAGGCACTGCAGCATAATAAAGCAGTACCCATTTCCCATTTAAACTCTGAAACAGTACTTGGCTCTGTATTACGTAGACAAAATGGTTTTCTGGATGGGGTGGGACACAGAAAGGATAATTTGTCTTTCGGTCTCGGTGCAATTGCATGGAATCATGGGGTTGAAAAGATATCCCCTCATTCAGTGCCGTATAAGGAGAGTATCTTACTGAAGTCAGCAGAAGCAGTTTGAAGTAAACATAGAATAGATGCCATTCAACCCGGGCAGAGAAGCAGTGCTGCAGTGGCTGTTTTTATGTAATTTATTTTATGTTTTTTTTATGTTTTTGTCGTTATCCAAGAGATGTGCTTGACTTGGACCCGAATTGAAACACTCTTCCTCCAATAGATTTCATTGTGTTACAGTTTATTCCCTGTTTCCCTGAATTGTTGATCACAACAAATATACCTCGAACAATTAGCTTTTTAGTAAAACACATAAAGGACTAAATCTACTTTCATTAGATTTTTTTGTGGACCTGTTTTCTAATCATCAAAATATATCACTTTGAAATGTTGTCTCTATGGCAACTAAGAGCTGTATAGGCCTATATCGTGTTATGAACTGGAAAGAAAATCAGCTGAAATGGGCAGCTATAAGTACTAAATCTAACTGTGCTGTGTTTTCACTGAACTGAAATGGCATTTGATTTTTATAATTTTCTCCTTTAGTAGTGAAAAATTGTTCAGCCTTTTTTCTCTGGCTTGTACTGAATTACCATTGGGTTATTGATATGATCCTGATCTTCACGTTATGGCTTTGGATTTTGTAAGAAGGATGTTTGATTATTCAATGTCTTTGTAAAGATTATGGTTATGGAAACATTTTCTGAGCATTTCATGTTTTAGGGGCAAGAATAATACAAATCACTTTCATTAAAAGATGCAAAGTAGTGAGTCACTTCATGGTGGAATGGTCCATATGTGCAGAAATGTGATAAAGTGGGTTTCTGAAAATGGGCTCTACCAAATGGTCCACATGAAAGGCTTAATGTGAACCATCCTCATGTTATTTTTTTTGTTCATTATTTCGACTTGGCTTATAAAAGAATATATTTTTGTTGATGTAAATATTTAGGGGAACTGGAGGACATTGGCAATAGAGATGTAACTTTTGTGAAATTAGACTTGCAAGAAAAATGTAGGTAATTCCTCCTGTTTATGCAACTCGCTGTTTGAAATGGTAACGTGGAAAATGGAGCGTACAACTTAGTCTTTTAGTATACACATGAGAACAATTGAGAATTTACATGGATTTAGGCACATTTCAATGCCTTCTTTAGTCGTTTTTTTGTCCTTTATAGATAAAAAAAAACCTAATTAGATGAGCCATATTTGCGTTTAATGTAAGACTATTTTTGAGGAAGAATTTTCTTTTGTGTTAATGTTTTTCTGTAATTGTTGTCAGAATTGTCGACTGGTTGGTTATGTTCACTGTATTTGATACCTTTTTCTTTTTGAGATCTGATTGATCCGTCTTTATGTGAGATTTAGTGGTGCGTAAGGGTAATCTAGGAGTGGGTAATTGTTTAGTTGATCTTTATGCTCAAAGAGATTATGTGTGTGCATGTGTGTGTTTTTCTCATTTGTGGAATATGCGTTATGTTTCTTTAAATCTGCTGAAAGAACAGATGAGATTGGTTGGAACTAATGCAGATCAGATTACACAATCACCCAAATAATTAATACTGCTCTACTACAAAAACAAGGCCACCAGCAGTATTAATGCAGCCATTTCAACATGTAAAAGACAGGAAATGAGAAGAATAAAAAGCCATTACACACTCTAAATTAAGTCCCCCCTTTTACTTTTGAAGTAGAACTTTTCCATTTGAGCTTAAAAAAGACCCCAAAAATCTAAATAACAAGCTGATTTAGGTCTGTAATGTGCCTAGTGAAAGACCCCATTTGCCTTTTAATCATTTGAGCTAATACGGTGAGGGGTGTATGGATGTGCAGTATTTTCACTTTGTTGCAATTTATAAATTAGAACATTTAAAGTGAGCCAATGTAAAGCTTTAAAAAAAATATTTTGCCATAATAATGCAAATGGCAATGAAACCTCATAACAGGACATAAAATGGTGCACAAAAGGGTATATATGTGTAGAATTTTAGAATGGATTTCACCCATCAGTGAAACACTGACCTACAGATCTCATAAAAAAACACAGAGGAGGCCTGCACTCCAGTCAAGTCACACAGATAAAAACAGCTTCTGTGGGGCAGATGGAGAATAAAAAATCTTGTCCAAGAAAGCAGAAGCAGAATCAGAACATGTAGTGATGATTACCTGCAGCTAGTCACAAATATAAAACCTTAAGTCTATGATGAAACCTTTGAAAAAGCATAGTCTGTTGTTCTAACTCAAGGTTGGTCTATCAGTTGCAGCAAGTAACTGCATTCCTTAGTAGCTGCAGTAAAGTTTTAAACATAAACTTGAACTTAATACATTTTCCATGGATATGT